TTGCAACTCTCTCCTCCTTGCCGAACCTCTTTGCGACCCTGGCCACAGCCCGTGACCGACGAGTTACGTCCGCGCAAAGTAAGGTTGTTTCAAATTTTTCAGCAGGGCCCTCCAGGCAAGACTTCAGATAGTGGAATTTCTCCACTGCTGAGATTGAAGAATTATCTCCGACAATAGATTGGAAGATATCTCGGAAGGTGGGCCAGTCTTCGAACAGACCAGAGAAGGACCGAATTTTTAATCGAGGCAGCGATGTCCTACCTGAAGGCTCATTACCACCTTCTGATTTGGAAACGGGACTCGATTCTTTCGCTTTGAATTGCTGGACGAAGTCGTTGAGGAGGCTTCTTTGCTCCACGTAAGTGTTCTCGGCTGAGTCGACAAATCCGGTCGTGCTGTACTCACTTTCGTCGAACATCTCTTTGAGATGCGCTCGGATCAGCTCGTGCTGAACCTCAAATTTAGCCCACAGTCGATCCAGAAGAACGATGCGAGTCTCGGCAGCGTGTTGCGTAATATTCGTTGCGCCGAGCTTCTTCAAATTCGATACTGCTCTAGCTATACGACCGTCAATGTCGCTTTGAGCCGTCAGCAGGGTTTGAAGATCCGGACTCATGGTTCACTCACTTCCTTTCTTTCAGGAACAAAACACTGGACGCGACGCACCCGATACTGCGATTGCCGGCGGAAGAATCCGGCTCGAAGGACCAGAAAATGTATGCGAATGCAACGCGAGCGCATATGAACCGCGAGGACGACACACGGATGGATCACCAAAAAAACAGTTTGACCACTAACTTTAGTTTTTGTAACAAAATAATTACATTTATTGGTTTGATCTGACATGCACTTTGTACAAAAGGAAATATATAATGATATAAACACAGTTTTAGGATTTACTCTGGTCGAATAAAAGATCGCGGCGCTTTCACGGCGGCTTAGCACTTCGAGAATTTTCCAGAAAGTTAATGCGTGGCGATTTTGCGGCGGTTTCTCACAAGGAATACTCTCTCTAAGGGCTCCGAGCACAGAAGGAAGGGAACGGCGACAATAGCTCTATATATCGGATACGCGGCACGGAGCGTTCTTTTTATTGTAGCGAATAGAGGTTTGCCAACAATTTTGTTTTTTGATTGATTGGCGGCATCGATTTACCTCCCGTCATGTGTGGAGTAATAGCCATGCGCGGCAGTAAATCCGTGATTAGGATTGGAGGCGCGCGTGCGCAATCGCGCAGTTTCTAGAACATTCGCAAGTTCTGGAAGGTTCGGTACTCTTTTGCTATTGTTAGCATTGTGTGTATAAAATGAGCTTGTTTTTTTCTAAATCAACAAAATGATGTATCATGCTAATGCTAAGATTGAACTTACGAAGACCTTGACTGCTCCTTTTATGAACACAATTTAATGCTGATTATTACTTCTTTACCGCGACGGAATTTTCTCTTTTAACTTTCTTTTCATGATCTCAAACATTCCCGCCCGCCTCGTCATCTTCGTGACGACACGTGCCGAGAAGTAGCGGCGAGTGTGGCCTGTAGGAGTAAGAGCGATCATGATGATCGATTCGGCCGGCGCTATTGCTCGATCATCGCGATCGATATCTCCGACGTGGCCTGCCATCTTGCTCAGCTTATTTCGCTGTGCGCGACGAAATACAGAGGTGTACACGTGGGATGTATATGCGAAATGATAGGTTACTCGAGTGAATTCCGTGTATTGTTTCCATGTGAAAATTGAAAGTTAAACGGAACCTGTCACTGGTTAGTGAGTAAACGGGACCACGCGGTAGTGTATAGTGATGGGAAACAAGCGGCGAGAGAGATTGAAACTTAAACTAGAGTGTGATGCAAAGAAATATGGTAATGTAATGAGGTACTCGACAATGACGGTGTATTACAGGCTAATACTAGAAGAAATACTAAGGTTTTTTTTGTTTTACGTATCTTCGGACGATGTGAGTGTATGGACGGCTTCTGGCAGCAATACCAACTTGACCACAGGACGGATTAATTTCGATGAGGCCGTTTGTACAGTCACCACCCGTTCCACGCCGTCGTCTCCAGGATGCAGCTGCGGGATTCGTGCTAATGGCCATTTGTTGGGCGGAGTGATTTCTGAGCGGATGAGGCACAAAGATCCGATGCGTGGGGATGCTGCTGGTTTGATCCACCGTTGTCGTGTAGCCAGCGTATGCAGGTATTCTCGTGACCATCTCTGCCAGAAATGATCACTCATCCTCTGAACAAGTTGCCACCTAGAAAGAAAATTTTCCTTTTCTCTTGTTAAGGGTGGCTCAAGAATGGCCAGTAGTGGTGTCCCAATAAGTAGGTGACCTGGCGTCAGAGCCGTGAGGTCATCTGGATCGTCCGAAAGTGCGTACATTGGCCGGGAATTCAGGCACGCCTCCACTTGTGCGAAAAGGGTACTCATCTCTTCCAAGGTAAGCCTTGTTTCGCCAATGACTCTCCACAGATGGTACTTCGTGGACTTCACGGCAGCCTTCCAAAGGCCGCCAAAATGTGGTGCGGAAGATGGGTTGAAGTGCCAGTGGATCCCTTCTGACGAAGCAGCGTGCGCAATGCGACGTCTGTCAAATGAGGAGGCCCCGAGCATCTCTCTCAGTTGCTTGTCAGCTCCAGAAAAATTGGTGCCACAATCTGAGTAGATGTCAGAGCAAAGACCTCGGCGAGATGTAAAGCGGCGGAGGGCAGCCAGGAATGCTTCGGCGGTGTAGTCTGAGACCGCTTCAAGGTGAACTGCTTTGGAGCTAAAACACACAAAAATGGCGATGAAAGCCTTGCTTGCGCTGTGGCCACGCCCTTTGCTCGCCCTGACAAGAATGGACCCTGCGTAGTCGATGCCCACTTGGAGGAATGGTCTTGCAGGAGTCACTCATTCTGGTGGAAGGTTTCCCATTGGAGGTTGTGGTGTGACAGCCTTCCAGCGAGTGCGCATTGGTGCAACCATTGCTTAACGACTGCTCTGCCTCGTGGGATCTAGAAACGGAGTCGAAGCATCCCCAGCATCAATTGGACACCTCCATGCAGAGTGCGGTGATGGTAGGCCTCTACCATCAATCTCATGAACCACGATTTTGTAGGCACGATGAGTGGATGCCGCTCGTCAAAGGACAGCACAGCGTGCTTGAGCCGTCCCACGACTCGTAGCATCCCGTGGTCGTCCATGTATGGACCGAGTGCTCACAGGCGACTTTTTCGTGGAAGACAACGATTGGTTGCAATGGCGGTCATCTCCTTCGGGTAGTGCAGCGTCTGCACTACTCGAGTCCACTGCAGGAGTGCTTCATCAAGTTCGGCAGGGTGGAGCGTAGACCTGTCGCGATCCTCGTCAGCGGATCCGGCTGGGCGGCGGCGCCATCGGAGGCACCAGGAGGTGATCCTCAGGAATGAATGCAGCGCTGAGAATTTGAGGAGGAATTCAGGCTGTAGATTGCTCCTGGTTGCTGCAATGTGCGTGGTGGATCGTTGCTCAGGCGTGTCCTTGATGGGCAGCTCCTCGTCTCCGCTTGGCCATTCTGTTACGTTTCCGCGCAACCAGGCGGGGCCCGTCCACCACAGGGGATGTCCAAGGAGCTCGCTTGGGGCGAGTCCTCGGGAGGCGCAGTCGGCGGGATTCTTCTTTCCTGGGACGTGGCACCATCGAGACTCAGGTAGCTGTTGTTGGATCTGCGATACCCTGTTAGCCACATAAGTTTTCCATCGAGAGGCGTGGCCATGAATCCAGCAGAGAGTGACCTTGGAATCAGACCACAGGATTACCGGTGTAGTGGATAGGTTTAACACAGTGCGCGTGTATGCGAGTAGATTCGTGAGCAAGGCGGCAGCGCAGAGTTCCAGTCGCGGAAGTGATATGGGTTTGATAGGTGCAACCTTGCTCTTTGCCACAAACAATCGCGTCGTGATTAGATTGGCCGAATTGATGCGAAGATACACCACGGCGGCATAACCTCGTTCAGACGCGTCGGCGAATCCGTGCAGTTCGAGATGCGAGCTTGAGTTGTCGGTACCTAACCAGCACCTGACGCGGAGCTTCTGGAGTGATGGAAGTCCTTCAAACAGGCGTTGCCACTTCACAGCGATGGTCGACGGAAGCGGAGCGTCCCAATCCAATCGCTGCAGCCAGGCGGACTGGATCAAAATTTTCGCCTGAATTACCATTGGAGCTAACCAGCCTAGCGGATCAAAGAGCCATGCAGTTTCCGCCAGCACGATTCTTTTGGTGAACATGGTGATGGTGCGAGGTGGAACGGAAAAGGCGAATTCGTCGCTCTTTGGATACCAACGCAGTCCCAGCGTCGAGTGGTTGTCTTGCTCCCATGAAAGTGAGTCCTTGGTAAGGTGATGCTCGGTTGGAATTCCGCGGAGGAGGTCCTAGCAGTTTGCAGCCTACTTCCTCAGAGAAAACCCGCCCGCGATGCAGAGTTGGCGGAGTTCGACTTGCAAGGTTACCGCGTCGGATTTGTGATGTGCTCCGGTCACAATGTCGTCGACGTAACAATCACGTCGTAACGCGTCGGCACCTCGTGGGAAGTGGCGTCCTTCGTCGCCGGCAAGCTGGCACAGAGTGCGGATGGCGAGAAATGGCGCGCACGCGAGACCGTAGGTCACGGTTTTGAGAGTAAACTGGCGTATTGGGTCGGAGACGTCGTGACGCCAGAGGATGCGCTGATACCTCTGGTCATCTGGATGAACGAGAATCTGACGGTATATCTTCTCGATGTCCGTGACGATGGCGTACCGGTGCCAACGCCAACGCATGAGCACGTCCGCGAGAGGTGACAGGAGATTGGCACCGAGACTAGTAACTGTGAATTGAGAGACTCACCGGTTCTAGTGCGCTGCGACCTGTTGAAGACGACTCTGAGTTTGGTTGTGGCCCTTGATTCCCGGAGTACGCCATGATGCGGAAGGTAACACCGGTTTTCGATCAGGTTTGACGGTTCTTGAGCCATCTCCATGTGATCTAATTCCTCGTACTCGTTCAGGAAGGCGCGGTAGAGTTCTCCAAATCGGGGTTCTCGCTCGCAGCGTCGCTCCATGGCAGTCAAGAGGCGTTCGGCCGGTTTGCGAGTCTCGTCGGGCTTAGTTGGCGTTGAGGCGAATGGCAGTCGCACCACGTACCGTCCCTCGGCAGTGCGTTGGTGATGGAGCGCGAAGATGTTTTCGCACAACTGCTCGTTTGGCGTGAGAGCGGCGGGAGTGGGCATTTCTCTCTCTTGCTCCCAAAAGCGGTGAACGAGCTCAGTTAGCTTGTGATCAGCGGTGCATTGGAGAGAGCGACGCTCCGTCGTGGTGTTGACCTGGTCGCAACCTCCGTACAAGATCCATCCAAGAAGGGTGTTCTGGGCGATGGGAGCTTGGGGTCCTCCCTTGCGAAGACCTTCTTGCAGAACGACGGAGCACACTTCCGCACCGAACAGCAGCTCTATTGGATCCGTCGATATGTACTGTCGATCCGCTAGCGGGAGCCCTTCAAGTGAGGCCACTCGGTCTTGTTCTTCCCGTTTGCGCCTTGATATAGAGACAAACGGATATAGAGGCAGAACAAGGCTATGGCGGTGAACTAAGTCTCATTGGTCAGCGAGGCTATATCGAGGGTCACCTTTCCCCTGCTCGGTCCGGTGCTTTTGCCGCTGATACCGAAGATTTCGACTGCGGATCTCGATCGTGGCAGACGCAGATGCTGAACCAACGCCTCGGAGATCAAGGACACCTCGGATCCTTGATCAATGACAACGCGCACTACGTGACGATTTCCGTGGTGGTCGGCAATGGATACCCGCACGGTAGCGAGCAGGATTGCCTTCTGATCATCGTCGCGACGCGTTGCCGACAGTGCGTTAACCTCTAAGGGTTTCGGCGAAACACACGCATCGTGAAGTATAGAATGATGTCGAGCTTTGCACGTAACACACGTCTTGGTAGATTGGCACTTCGCGATCAAATGGGAGCCAAGACAGTTGAAGCACAATCGGTGTGATTCAGCGACGGCTTTGCGTTCGTCAGCGGATTTTGCTTTGAAAGTTTCGTACATCATAACGTTGTGTTCGCCCTTGTATAGGACGCACTGAGATGAGTCGATGTGTCGTTTGACGTGGTGTGATCTCGCAGATCGCGGCGGGTCTCCGGAGACCTTGAGTGACTTCGGTTTGGCGGGATTGAGCGTGAGTGCTCTTTTTGTGATGAAGTCCACCAGTGTCTCGTGAATTGGAATGTCATTTGATGCGCTTGACAGGGACTTCCACTCCAGTCGAGTCTTTGGATCAAAAAGCTCAACGATGAGGTGATTGAGGAGGCCGAAGCCATGCGAGCTAATGGGCCTTTTGATGCTCTCCTGGCCGTTGACTACGCTGGTTACGGCATGGTAAATGCGGTTGAGCTCCTCGGCAGTGTCACTCTTCATTTTAGACACAGCGGTAAACGTGGCGAAATTGGAACGCGATAACTCTCTTGTTTTCATAATGTTTGCTTAACAAGGCCCATGCGCGTGGGTAGTTGTCTCCTGTAATCGCTAACGGTCGTATTAATTTGTAACGATGCACCCCCATAAGTGCATCGTTCCTGGCTACAACTCGCCGGATGCCGCTACGGTGACCCCCGGTCACCGTATGCGATGAGAGCGCGGTGCGCTCGACATATTTTAAGAACAAAAGCATAATTACAGGCCGCGAGACTTCGTCAAACGAAACCCGAGCGTCGCCGAAC